TCCAAGGAAGTCGTAGTCTCGCGAAGGAGAGAGGTAAGTGTCGAAGTTTCACTCCGGGAAGCCTCCAGGAGCTTGCGGAGGTCCGCTACTTCAGCCCGTAAAGCGTCGTTTTCAGCCTTCAAGGCAGCAGTAGCTCGAGCTCGAGGAAAAGGATGGGGAACATCGCGGGAACGCTGGGATACAGATATCAGACAAAAAACTTCGGACCTGAAGAACAGTAACGTAGAGAACTCACTTGAGAAGGAGGAGGGGTGCTTATGGTCACTGCGGACCGACGCTCTGACACCACCGGTGGAACGAAGCGGCTAGACGAACCTGGTGAATTGGACCGTTTACGGCCCAAGAGATGTGAAGATTGCGCTTGAGACGGTGGAAGGGGAACTCGTGCGCTCCCTGATTCCTCAGAAGGAGGAGGAGCATGCACCACCTCGTCGACACGATCACCAGTCACAGGGACCGAACCAGAAGAGTCGACAAGGGGGGGACGAAGAACCAGCACCACTCTACGGTAATCTGGTACCTCAGCATCCCGACTCTCCCCAACAGGACGTTTACGCTTTCGGTCGTGGAACTCGGGAGCTACCTCAGGCTCCGAAACTTCTCTAACAGGACGCTTACGAAGAGAGGAAGAACCTCCCTCCTCCTGCCGGTTGGACCTTTTTCTCTTTTTCGCCAGAGCGCGTGGAGTCGCCACAACAGAAGGAAGTGGGGAAGGCAAGGAAGTAGTGGTTGAAGGCCGGGGAAGCTGAGGCTGCTTTCGAAGGAACTCCCCAAGCTCCACACGGTCCAGTTCTTGCTGATCTTGTTCGTCCAGCGAATTCAGCTCGATCAAAGCGACAGTGGAGTTCGTACTGGCCTCGATCTTCGCTGCGATATTCCTCCACTGCTCAGAAGGGAGAGTGAAACGAGTTCGTTGACCCGGGTCCCCATGCACCTCCAGAAACCTTCGAGCAAAAGCTAGGTCGCGGGAACACTTACGTGCGAAGTAACGAAACCGAGCAAGTCGACCTAGGACGCAGGGCTTCTTGTCGTCGCAGTTACTACAACGAGCAAGGTGGGGGACGACTGAACAGTTTGCCTCCTTCTTGCCTCTAATACAAAAGGAGCAAGGAAGCCCAGCAGCAGCGAGCAACGGCCAAAGGGGATCGTCGACGATATATCTCGCCAACGATACACCCACGCCGAAAACAGAACGAAACAGAGCCAACTGTCCTAGAGGAGGCTCCTCAAGTGTATTAGCCAGCTCATCGATAGCGGCATCTGCAGTCGGTTCAGTGGAAGTAGGATGGGATGGGGAAGATACCGGTGGTGGCACGGGGTTGGGAGCTCCGGTAGCGGCACTGGAAGAGGGGAGGCTCATAGTAGATCGAGTTTGACTCGGACAACGATGAAAAGATGCTGGAAAAACAACGGGAAACGAACTTATAAACGAAAAAAGTCGAGTCACGTGGAAAGCACCTGACGACAACAGCAACCTCCTCGGAGGCTCGGAGGAGTAGAGGGGGGGGTAATGTCATGCCTCGCCCCAAATTCCATATCCCATAAGCTCCTTGACGTAGTTCCCAACCTCCTCAGCCCCCCTTACCTCCTCAACCACTTCTGAACCCCTGAGAACACCCCCAACGCCGCAAACCTCCTCACGGCCAGGACAACCTCCACTAATCTTAGTTCCCCTCAATGCAACCGAACCACTCCACGACAGGGTCCTGGAACCCCGCACATGCGCCCATCATTCCGTCCTCCTGTCCGTCCTGATGTACTTAGAAACCCCATTAAGTGCCCGTTTCGTACTATGTCTCTTTGTTAACTTCCCTATACGTATTTAAGCAGTCCAGTAGCGTCCAGAAGCCCAGCTTGGTATATTTTGAACACACACCCTTTACATAGGTCCAGTCCCTGTCCCTTTGTACCTGCTACCTATACGGAATTCTCTCTACTCTCTGTCTCTCTACTTCTGTTTCTCTCTACTACTGTCTATCGTCTCTCTGATCGTCTATACGATCGAATATACGCTTTTACTTCAAGTCTAAGCCTTCCGAGTGAGTCTCCGAGCTCCCTCGAACATTACTAAAGCTCCCCAACGCCTACCCGCTTGGTGAGCTACCCTTCCCCAAACCTCCCAGAGCTCCCTAGCTACTTCGTAAGCTTCGGGACCTCAGTCTAGGTAACGTCGAAGCTACCCCTCACGTCGAACTACGTATTGCTTCTCCGTTACCACCTCCCACACTCGAGGACGACCATCCTCAACCCCAGCCCCCAGGGACCTACCCTCCCTGGCGTATCCCTTCTCGGGAGCTTACACCCTCGAGCCCCAGTTGCATAAACTACCTACTCGATCCTATATTGACGTTCTAGCGAGTACAACTCCTACTACGCAATATCGTACGGTCCCGCACTCTTCCTGAACCTCCCTACGCATTAGGGACCTCCCTGGACCTCCTAGGAACCCCACAAGGGTCACCATCTCGTCGTTCCAACCACTACTAGGTCATTCCCGTCCTCGGTCGCGGTTCTCGTAGCTCCCTTCGAGCTCCAGCCTGCTCCTAGCACGCTACAACATAAACCTTCGCATACCAAAACCTACCCTAAGACCCATTTTGACCCAGGTCTTACAATGCTCTACAGAGCTCCCTCCAGAATTGGGACACAAAGAGGGAGCCCCGGTCTGAAGTTATGTCGGAGGGCATCCCATGCTTTGAGAAGACGTATGTGATGAATAGATTGGCAAAGTCCTCCGCCTTATCCGTCGTATGACAAGGAACATATATGGCTTGTTTGGTGAGTCGGCAGACTACTACGAGGATGGCGTCGTATTTCTCTGGTCCCGCAGTGGCTGGGAGCTGGGTGATGTGATCTAGGGAGATTGAGGACCAAGGTCGTTGACCAATTGGTAACGGACGGAGATTCCCGTAAGGTTTGGAGCGACTGGCTTTGGCTCTCAGACACGAGTGGCAGCTCCGCACGTAGTAGTTCACGTCTTTGGACAGTCCTTTCCAGAAGAACAGCTGGTTTACGAGCTTCTTGGTGCGTTTCTCCCCCGGATGTCCCCTTAGTTTATGGTCGTGGTACGACTGGAGGACCTCCCTTCGTAGGGTCCCAACGTCTGGGACGTATATACAGCCTCCCCTCTTTATCAGCCCATCCTCCCAAACGAAAGATTCCTCCTCGTTGCGTGCAATCCTTTTTAGTGCTTCAATTATAGTCGTGTCCTTTGGAGCTTCCCTTACTCGATTCACTAGGAGGTCCTCGTTCATAAGGATGGTAGCGTTCAGTCGTTCTGGAGGTATGAGTACCCTTTCCCTCCCTGCTAAGACCTGGTCCCTTGAAGCTCCCTTCTTTGGGTACACGTCTGATCTGCGGGTGAGCGCGTCCGGCTTGGCTCCCAACCTCCCTGGGCGATAGTTGATGACAAAATCGTATCCTGAAAGGAGCTCTGCCCACCGGGCTTGTCGTGCTGTTAACTGCTTCGTAGTGGTGAAGTACTGCAGATTGTTATGATCTGAGTATACTTGGATCTGGTGTCGGGATCCTTCGCAGTACGCCCTCCATTGTTTGAAGCAGTCCACGATAGCTAGGAGCTCCTTATCGTATATGTCGTAGTTTAGTTCCGCAGAGATCATTGACCGTGCATGGAAGGCGATAGGATGTATCTCCCCCGTTTCGGGATCCAGTTGTGATAGGATCCCTGCTATCGCCAAGTCGGAGGCATCGCATTCGAGGACTACCGGTAGGTCCGGGTTGTAATGTCCCAGAACCGGGGCTTCTGAGAATGCTGACTTCAGAAGTTCGAAGGCACTACTACACTGTGGTGTCCAGTTCCACACTGAATCTTTTCGGAGGAGTTTCGTGAACACCTTGGTGATTCCCGAGTAGTTGTCTATGAACCTCCTATAGAAGTTTGCGAATCCGAGGAACGCTTGGAGTTCCTTCACCGTCCTTGGTTTTGGCCAGTCTATTACTGCCTTCACTTTCTCTGGGTCCATGGACACTCCCAATGGTGATATGATCACCCCCAAATACTCGACGGTGTCGACATGGAACGCACATTTTTCCGGCTTGGCGTGGAGGTGATTTGCCCGTAACCGTTCCAGGACCTTCCTGACGTGCTTCACATGGGACTCCTCGTCATCTGAGTAAATCAGTATGTCGTCCAGATAGATCACCACACAGACGTCCACCATATCGTGAAAGATCTCGTTCATGAAGAATTGAAACGCAGAGGGGGCATTCGTGAGCCCAAAGGGCATTACCAGGTACTCGAATGACCCATACCGAGTTCGGAATGCGGTCTTCCACTCGTGTCCCTGGGCTACCCTGACGTTATTGTATCCTGCGCGGAGGTCAATCTTTGTGAAGATCTTCGCCTTCCGTAGTTGATCCACTAAGGTGCCTATCAGGGGTAGAGGGTACCTATTCTTCTTTGTAATTTTGTTCAGGGCTCTATAGTCGACGCAGAGTCGTAGAGTACCATCCTTTTTCTTGGCAAACAGGACAGGAGCTCCTGCGGGGGAACTGGAGGATCGTATGAACCCTTTCCCCAACATCTCGTCGATGTACTCCTTCAGAGATTTCAGCTCCTTCTCAGACATGTTGTAAAGCTTCCCTATGGGAGGTATCGCATCACCTTCCGTTTCGATTTTGATATCGTAGGGTCGGTGCGGAGGTAGTGTTCTTGCTTCTCCGGGCGAGAATACGTCCAGGTAGTCCTGGTATTGGACGGGAATGGATTTCTTTAACTCCTCTGTCTCCTGACGCTTCGATACTTCCTCATCGAGCTCCTTGACGACCCCCCCTTGTTCCAGGCCAGGGTTCCCATTCTCAGGATCCTTTGGTTGTTGCACTCTTTCTGGGTCGTTGCTACCACTCGCCCGGAGTATTTCCTCAGTAGGGGACCCCTCCTTCGTGGGCGATATGTGAAGGAAGTATGCTGGGGTTCCCTCCCTCAGTAGACGATCCATCCCAGCTGCTCCTATTAGGCTGATGGGTTTCCCTTGTATGGTGGGGTCCGATTTTCGTTCAACCACATGGGTACCCGCTATGAGCTGCTTTCTTCGGAAGTTGTTGCGTCTTATTGAACCTTTGGGAGTCAGACCAGACCTTGAAGGAATCTTGGGTATGTTCAGGCTTTCGATGTCTAAGGTGGGGAGGTCGGGATAAGGTCCATGCTTCCTCCTTTTCTTCCTTCGACATGAAGGCGGATTCCAAGGGTAGGGAGCGTTTCTGGAGGCCTCTGCAAACCAACAGATCCCCACCAGCAACTGAATCTTTCATTCAGTACCTTGGAAGTGTACAGGAGGCCTCCTCCTCACTTCTGACAGGTACATAAATATTCAGTTGCTGCCTCTCACCAAAAACTCTACAGATATTCCTCACTTCTGAAAATGTGTACAGGTTTCTCCACAACCTCACTTTTCAGCTGTGTACAGATTTATCTCTCTCTCTCCAGGTTTTACCTCACTTCTGTACAGGGTCTCACCCTCAGATGTGTACAGGTTCCACCTGATTTTTTACAGAAGTGTACAGGCTGTGTTCCTCACCTCTTCAGTTGTGTACAGGTGTTTCCACCTCACTTCTTCAGTTGTGTACAGGCCAGACCTCACTTCTCAACATGTGTACAGGTCACACCTCACTTCTGTCCTCAGATGTGTACAGGTAGCACCTCACATGGGGCCAGTTGGATCAGGTGATGTGTTGATCATGTGTTCTGTTTCAGTCAGGTGCCAGAGTTTCTGAGCAGAGGCCTGTGTGAAAAAGGTCAGAATCATGTGATCCCATCAGCTCTTCCTTTCTCTCTTACCACCACCATCTCCTGCCACTTTGGTGATTTGGGTGAGAACACTGGCTTTCTTCCACAGCTCTGATAGCTTCAACATCATCCTCCAGGTCCTCCTTTCATCTGTACAGGCCTAGCCTCAGATTCAAGGACCTGCCATAGCTCTGACAGCTTCAACATCATTTTTCCTTGTCTTTTATGTATAGATTAGAGGTCTGGGTTCTCAGTGTGTCTATGATATCTTTTATGGGTGTTTTACATGGTTTTCAACTGATGTTTGGGCAGATCTAGGTTGATCTGGTCATTTTTTGGTCACCCTCCCTCCTCTCCCACATCACATCTTTACTTTCAACCATTTCACTCCACTCTAACCTGTTATTTTATTTTTTACTTAGACTTCTTTTTTCATTTATATTATTTACCATACCATACCCTTCCTGTAGGGCCCTGCATGATGCATTCAATTTAATGGGGCTTTGGCCCAGTTTATGGCTAAACACCTCCCTATGAGTGAAAATAGGCATAGGCCACCGGACTTTTTGCTTAGCTCCCGGCCAGGAGGAGGATCGTTTTGTGTCCCTACTCTT